TTATATTATTAAATAAAAATATAATATCTTATATTATTATATAATGATTTATTATAATATTAAAAATATAATATATATATTAGAAATATTAATAAATATATTTTAATATTTTAATAATAATATTTGATTAAAATGATATTAAATATTTATTAATATTAAATTCATAAAATAAAATTATTTTGAGTATTTATTTTTTGAATTAAAAAGTTCGAAAAATGACTTATGGAAAATCAGAACGTAAGTCATTTTCTAGAAAACAGAAAGAAAATTCTATTGATCAGGAAAATGTTTTACGTGGACAACCAGTTTTCCTCCAACCAAATATTGGAAAATGAGTAAAACGTTTTACGTGAAACAAACGGACTCTTAATTTTTTTAAATACAATTAGTGAAATAAAATAGAGAATAAATTTAAGTTATTAAATAATAAATTTACGCTTATATAGAAACTAATTACCTATAAAAAACCTAAAGCTAAATTAGTGTTCCCTATGATCGAGAAGCATATTTTCTCTAATATTTTTTCGATAAATGTGAAAGGTTAGAAAAAAAAAGAAAGGTTATTAGGTTTAGGGTAAATTATACGGGTGACCACCAAACTATGATCATCAACCATTTTGACCACCAACGTTTAAAAGTGATCAAACAAATTACTCAACTATTTAAATGGTTCAATTAAGCCACATGCCGTTAATTTTTAACAGACGTGATGACGTGACCGTTAATAAAATTGATATAATTATATATTTAGTCCTTAATATTTACACATTCTATCAATTTAATAACTATTTTAATTCATTTAAATAAATTTAATCCTCTAATCCGAAGGTGACACATGTTATTATATGATTGGAATGTTCATTTTTATTTTTAAGTCTTACATCAACTATAATTTAAAAAATTAACCTTCCAATCATATAGTGACACATGTCACCTTCCGATTGGAGAGTTAAATTTATTTAAATGAATTAAAATAGTCACTAAATTAATAAAATGAATATTGATGTAACCAGCTGAAGATAAAACAAACAACGAGAAGAAGAGAAAACGATTAAGAAAGGTAAAGGAAATGTTGGCCAAAGATGATTGAGGCCTTCCCAATAATGGTTTTAATATAACCTGACATGTGTCACAATCTAATTATAGAATGACACATGTCACAATCTAATTAGATGATTAAATTTATTTTATTTAATTAAAATTAGGATTAAATTAACATTTTATGCAAGTAACAAGGACCAAATGTATAATTATTCTGAAATATTTAACTAACACATCATTATCTCCGTTAAATTTTAACAGAAGGTTGCTTGATTGAACTATTTAAATAGTTGGGTGGTCTGTTTGATCAAATTAAAACATTGGTGGTCAAAATAATTTTTGATCATAATTAAGTGGTTATCTGTATAGTTTATCCTTTATTTTAATTTATTTTTAATTTAATATATTTTTTCTTACTAGGACGTGTCGTCTTATGGAGAAAAGAAAATTTTGGGCACTTAAATGATGGAATTGAACTTGGGGTTCTTAGGTTGAAAAAGTAAGACTCAATTATTAAACCAAATTTAAATTCTTAATATTTTATATATCTTAACATAAATTTACATATTAAATTAATTAAACATTTTAACATAAAAATATTTTTTATCTTAACTTATTAAATATATTTTTATTCTTTTTGTATCCAAAAAAATATTTTATTCTTATTTTATTTTAAAAATATATATTTTAATCTTATCTTAAATTAAAAAATATAATTTATTCTTATTTTAACTTAAATATTTATATTTTATTTTGATAATATTTTAAATTTAAGATAAAAATATAATATTTTTTGTAGTTAAGATTAAAATATATTTTTGTAGTTAAAATAAAAATATATTTTAAGTTTAGACAATAATAAAAGATATGATTTAACTTAAGAATAAGAATTAAATATATTTAATAATTTAAGGTAAAAGTAGAATATATTTAATAATTTAAATTAAGAATACAATTTATGTAATAATTTAAGATAAAAATAAAATGTATTTTTAAGTTAAGATAAAAACTAAAATATATTTTTAAGTTAAAATAAGAATAAAATATATTTTTTAGATTAAGACAAGAATAAAATATATTTAATGTTGTCACATTAAGTATTATTTTAGTGACCAAATGTTCGACACTATTATCAATAAAATTTGTGATGAATTTGTTTGACACTAAAAATTTATTTTGTGACCATCAATGTTGCCACACTAAATATTGTTTTAGTGACATGTTTGACACTTAAAATATGTTTTGTGACCATACATATTATCACACTAATTAACTTTTTAGCAATCAAATGTTTGACACTTAAAATATGTCTTGATGATTGAAAGGAAGATTTCAAACCTTAAACGCAATGAGTTATGTTTAAAGAGACATACCCTGAAGAACATAGAGGTCTAATCCACAGAAGAAACATTGCTTTAAAGTGAAGACCATCAGATGTATAAGAAAAACAAGGATTTTTGTGTCTGAAGAAAGGAATCAATCGATTAAAGTGACTTGCACACAGTAGATTGGGGCAAAGTCAATATTAAGCCCTTACCGAGGAGTAGTGAAGCAACTCGATCTGAAGCCTTCACCACAGAGTAGTGAAGCAAATCAATCTGAAGCCTTTACCAAAGAGTAGTGAAGCAATCCATTTTAAGGCTTCTTAGAAGAGTATTGGAGCACACCATCAGATCATTAGAAGTGGAAGAAAATTGAAGATTCTCGGATACGAAGAAGATGACAAATTGATTTAAAGGAAATACGTGCGAGGAGTCATTAACTGATTCAAGGTCCCAAGAAGGGAGAGGTTCAAATGGCAGTCAAGTCAAGGAAGACTCTCGCATTTAGTTGCGGCGAGACAGGCTCTCACAAGAGAAATGAAATCAAAAAGATTCGCTTAAATTCTAATTTTTTGAGTATAATGTTTTTCAAATCTTCAAGCATACACTAATGAGTTGTATCGTTTGATTTTCAGGTTTGACTTTCGAAGCAAACCAACTTAAGCCTTCACGAAAGAGTAGTGAAGCAAGTGAAGATTGTTCGAGTTCCATACTCCTTAAAGAAAGAAGGATCGAACCGGTTTTCAGAAGATTTTCGAGTTCCATACTCCCAAGAGAAAGAGGGAGTGAAACCGTTTGAAGAAGATGTTCGAGTTCTATACTCCTTAAAGAAAGAATGAGTGAACCTGTAAGAAGAAGATTTTTGAGTTCCATACTCCCTAGAGAAAGAGGGAGTGAACCTGTAAGGATAAGATTTTCGAGTTTTATACTCCCTAGATAATGAGGGAGCGAACTCGTTGGAAGTTATTCGAGTTCCATACTCCCTAAAGAAAGATGAAGCGAACCCGTTTGAAGATTGTTTGAGTTCCATACTCCCTGAAGAAAGAGGGAGCGTACCCGTTTGAAGAAGATGTTCGAGTTCCATACTCCCTGAAGAAAGAGGGAGCGAACCCGTAAGAAGAAGATGTTCAAGTTCCATACTCCCTAGAGAAAGTGGGAGCAAACCCGTTTGAAGATGTTCGAGTTCCATACTCCTTAAAGAAAGAAGGAGCGAACCCGTTTTCAGAAGATTTTTTAGTTCCATACTCCCTAGAGAAAGAGGGAGTGAACACATTTGAAGAAGATGTCCAAGTTTCATACTCCTTAAAGAAAGAATGAGCGAACCCGTAAGAAGAAGATTTTCGAGTTCCATACTCCCTAGAGAAAGAGGGAGCGAACCCGTAAGAAGAAGATTTTCGAGTTCTATACTCCCTAGAAAAGTAGGGAGCGAACTCGTTGGAAGTTGTTCGAGTTTCATACTCCCTAAAGAAAGAGGGAGCGAACCCGTTTGAAGATGTTCGAGTTCCATACTCTCTAAAGAAAGAGGGAACGAACTCGTTCGAAGATGTTCGAGTTCCATACTCCTTAGATAAAGAGGGAGCAAACTCATAAGAAGAAGATGTTCGAGTTCTATACTCCCTAGAGAAAGAGGTAGCGAACCTGTTTAAAGAAGATGTCTGAGTTCTATACTCCCTGAAGAAAGAGGGGGCGAACCCGTAAGAAGAAGATGTTCGAGTTTCATACTCCCTAAAGAAAGAAGGAGCGAACATGTTTGTAGAAGATTGTTCGAGTTCCATACTCCCTAGAGAAAGAGGGAGCGAACCCGTAAGAAGAAGATATTCGAGTTCCATACTCCCTAGAGCAAGAGGGAGCAAACCCGTTTAAAGAAGATGTTCGAGTTCTATACTCCTTAGAGAAAGAGGGAGCGAACCCGTAAGAAAAAGATGTTTGAGTTCTATACTACCTAAAAGAAAGAGGGAGCAAACCCATTTGTTGAAAGTTGTTCGAGTTTTATACTCTCTGAAGAAATATGGAGCAGACGCGATTGATGAAATAGGGGGCAGACACGATTGTTGAAGATCGTTCGAGTCTCATACTCTCTGATGAAATAGGGAGCATACACGTTTGCAGAAGATTATTCGAGTTCTATACTCCCTAAAGAAAGAGGGAGCGAACCCGTTCGCAGAAGATGTTCGAGTTCCATACTCCCCAAAGAAAGAGGGAGCGAACCCATTGTTAGAAGATTTCTCGAGTCCGATATCCCCTGTAGAAATAGTAGAACAGACCCCTTATCAAATTTTAAAGCACATATATGGAATTGGACTAAAACGTGTTATCTTGTTTATCTTTGTCCTATTCTTGTTAACACAAAAATGAGCAAAAAAGGACAGCTGTAGACACCCGTTTTTGTTTGGGATTCTCGTTCGATTCTTTACTCCAGTTTATTTATATGTTACTATATAATTATTATTACCAGGTTTTGCATGTGTTTATTTATTTATGTTATTATTAGTGTATTAATTGTGTTTAATTGCATAATGGTTGTCTATTTGTCTATGTAGTCGTGCATGTGATCATATATATATATATATATATATATATAGAAATATGGTAATTGGATTCACTAATTAAATGCTTTGTCTTTACAGGCCAAAGTACACCAAGCCCAAATAAAGCCCCAAATTACAAACAACATCCCGGTCGAGACCCATTACAAGAGACCCATGTGCAGCCCACAACCAGCAGCAATAGAGCACCCCGTGTGAAGCAAATGATCAGTTCCTAATCACCTACACCCGACAGCACTCTGACCGAGCACCTTGGGGCTGTCCCACGCAATACCCAAGCATCAGACCGAGCAGCTAGGTTACCCATCCCGCGTGCCCTGCTCCAACAAACAAAGCCTGACAGTAATTACATCCCACGTGGATCGCTCTAACCGAGCAGCACTCTCGACAACGCCTGGTTTTAGCAGCTGTTTCCCATATGAAGCACAACATCCAACAGCACTCATGCCTCCCGAGATGTCCTGTTGCCCACACCCGAGCACCCCACGTGAAGCCATCGGGGCTGTTACCCATGCGCTGCCAACAACACATGCTTCCCTTGTGGTTGTCGCCCATATCCTGCATTTCACTAGCAACCATACGGAAATCAAGGGAGAGAACCGAGACAATGGAGAGCATATTCAACACAAACAAAAAGGGAGCAGATTCAACAGACAACGGGGAAGGAACCCGTTCAAGGAAGAGGAGAAAAAATAGAGAAAAACGGGAAATCAACCAAGGAGTTCATCATCAACCATTCGAGCATTAAGGTTCAAAAAAAAGCAAAAAAGGGAAATCCATTGTAGAACACAAAAACCATATTCGTGAGTCAAACAATGTAACAGTGGGTTATACCCATTTTTCTTCTAAGATCAAGTAATACAAGCAAGATATCATTCCTCATTTTCTTTCGATTAACAACCCAATAGCACAAAACAAATCTTTTTCAATATAACAAATCATATTTATTTTTTAGCAAGATTTTGAAACTAAAAGAGTAAATAGGTTAAGGAATTTTGGGTTACCTCGTTCATGGGTATCAACACTGAAGTCTTCTTCGGAGGAGGCCATTGGCAGTGTCGATAGAGGGTAAATGACCAGCAATGGTAGTTGGGATTTGATGTCCTTGGTGGTTGTTGATGATGGCCAGATTGTGGGTTGAGCCTTGTATTTGCCGTGTGGTGGTCGGCTGAAGTTGTGGGACCAATGGTAACCTATCGGCGGCATTGAATCGAGCATGTGTGGTTCTCGTACGAAGAAGAGATGGGGGAAAGTTGAGAGGAATGGCGCAATGGAGAACGGCTGTGAGGAGGTAAGTTGAGGTAAAATGGGGCTAGGGTTCAAATTTGATACCCACAATTTTATATATTTTCTTATTGAAACGGTGTCGTTTAGATGGTCTAGGGTTGTTCGGTTGTGAACGGGTTAACCAGTCTTTGGGTCATCCATGATTTGCTTATAGTTCATTTTAGTCCTCGATTCGAGTCTTTTACATTTTTATTTCTGTCTTTATACTTTTTTCTCATTTAATTTTCGTCCTAATATTTATTTATTTAATTATTGTTGTTTTAGACATTTAACCTCCAGGCTTCTGCATGTTACATTATGGTCTTGAGTGCATTTTGGGTTTATCATAGTTTTAGTCCATTCTATTAACCTTAGTTTCATTGTTTCTTTTGGTGTAATATTAATGTCCATTTCAATTGTTATTGTGTTTGTATTTAAAATAGTAAAGTTTGATTTAATATAATTTAGTCCTTATTTTGATAAGTACACTTATTTTCTAAAATTAGTAGTTTGATGTGCTTTGTTTCTATTGTTGTATTTAAGTCAAGTTTGTGCATTATATGTCAATATGCATCTAGTTTGTACTGTATAGTATAAAAATATGTATATAATTTTAGGTTGTACATGTCATTTTACATGAGAATCTTTAATATTTGCTTTGCTAATTGGACGATCGTTTTAATTAATTTTTGTATGATATCCTCATTTGCATAACTTGGCATTATTGCATAATTTGATTAAGAGTAATATCCTTTTAATTTAAAATTGTTTTAAGTGGGTTGTCTTAACTGATTAGATATCCGCATTTGACGATTTTAAACTAGAAGTGTATCCCATTAGTGACGCCTAAAAATTGATCAATTATTTAAAATTTGGGAATGGAAGAAAAAGAAACATTCGACTATTTAAATTTATCGAGAAAATGTAGTTAGAACTTATCTAAGATCTTGTCTCGATATTTATAAATAATCGAATATTCTTTATCTTTCTAAAAGGTTTGGTAATTTTAATTTAATCTATTTTGGTGCTTCTGAATGTTGTAAAATTCTTGTGTTGTTCTGTCGGGGATCATAAACCAAATTAAAATCGAATTTGTAAATTTCATTGCAAAGACATTAATTAATCGACGTGGTATCGATTTAGGGCGTTGTGGGGGTGCTAATCCTTCCCCACGCGTAACCGACTCCCGAACTCATTTTCTGGTAACGCAGACTTAAATTTGTTGTTTTAATTAAAAATTAATGTTTATTTAAAATGACAAAATATTTTTGGGTGTCCAATCACACCCTAATCAAAGATTGGTGGCGACTCTTCGAACCTGTGTTTTTATTGTGAATGAATTTCTAAATTTTCGAAACAAGAGGTTTTCTAAAATTACATTGTTTTTAATTTAAAAAATACACATAAAGAGAAATAATTTAAAATTGATGCGGTTTTCAAAATCTCACCCCACCTTAAAAATCATTTCGACAACAATATTTTTGAGATTTTGAAGAACAAACCACTGAGATGAGAATCAGATGTTCCGTTGAAGAACTACCTGCAGTGCTCCAACTAATAAAATTAATATATGACAGAAATCAGAGCAAAATATCATCACAGGTTACAATGAGAAAATCGTACCACGTTTTTTTTTGTAATTTCAGAAAGTGTTTCGACCTCACTTTTTGCATGTTTTCTTGCAGCCTCCGTTTATGCTAGAACGAGACTTTTTGTTTGAGAACTAGATGTTCTTCCTCCAACACCTATCCCACGTGAGTAATCTGATGTTGTTCCCAAAACAAGTGCAAAATGTTCCACTAGAGGTATAGGTGCTGTAAAATATTCTCTTCATTTTTCTCACCTGTAGGAATGATATTTGATGTTCTTGGACTATTGTTGTTATGTGATTTCTCAATTTCATTAGATCGTTGATTGAAGAAATTCTCTTGTTGATTTCCAGCATCACCGTCCTCTTGTTTACCAATAGGATTGGTTAAATATATACGTCGTAAAATATTAACCATTTTAGAACCGCAAAATAACATATTAATTAATAAAAAGAATTAGTTCAACAAAATAAGTAATTGAAATACATTAAAAGCTTGAATAAATGAAAGAAAAACGATAGTATATTAAAATAATAAAGAACAAATGAAATGGGAAAACTAATACATTAGATGTAGCATTAATGAATAAAGAAAGAATCAGGAGACTATCATCCAACCATTTATAATATATTATAAGATAATATGATCCTAATGATATTAATTTATAATTAAAATATTGATTAGTATTCATCATAACAACAATTCATTATCTTAATAACAATTTATAATTTTATCCTAGTTTTCATTAAAAAAAATTTAATTATAATTTATTTAAAATATTTACCTTCACGACTCATGTTAATTGATAACTTTTTAAGTAAAATATTTGTTTTTAAAATTAATTTATCAAGCTACTAAACAACTGAGAAATATGACAATTCATTATCTTATCAATAACTAATAATTTTATAATATTTTTAGATATTGTTCTCTTAAATATAATTTATTTAAAAAATATTTAAGGTTTAAGTTTATCACTTATTTATTGTAAATATTATTTTATCTTATTTTTTAAAAATAATAAAATTAAGATATTTATATATATTAATATTTAAGTTTATCAATTTATAGTTGAGATCATGATTGAGATTTATCCTAATAATAATTCATTATCTTAACAATAATTCTTATTTCTATAATATTTAAAAATTAATTTGATATCAATTAAAGGATTTTACTAGTGGCAAAATGATAGTTACAAGTAGATCCATCACAATTATAAAGCTACAATGACTATACATTAACACTGTCACAATTATATTTGTCGTGATCGTCTTTCAATTGGACCCGAAATTAGGCTTCAACTTAAAATAATTGAGTTAAAGTCGCCACCGATCATTTTAAAAATATTTAGGTGGATCGGACACCATCTTACCTGATCTGCTTTTTACCAGAAATGTGTTGGGTTTGGGAGTCGGTTACAATCAAGGAAGGATTAGCACCCTTGTACTGCCCTTTCAGTAGCAATTAATTTGTCGGTTGTCTAAATTACGAAAAATTTAAATTTAAATTGAAATTTAAAAAGTTCGATTCAAATCATTTACCTTTAATTGGTTGAAAAGTATCCCTAAAATCAAAAAATATTATTAGATTGTAAAATAAAAATAAATATGAACGAAGAAAAAATTAGCATAATAATAATAAAATAAATAAAATAGATAAAAATTAAATAAAAGTTAGTAAAAAATAAAAAAAATAATAAAAAAGACCAAAATGAATGATATTGAAAGTTGGCATGACTATAGCATGAATTAACCCTTAGAAAATTCAAAACACGTCAACATACACAAAGGGTTATTAATTCATGGGCCCACAATAGGATATCTCAATTCAACTTACAGCTTGCAGTTATTCCCCCATCACATCAAGGCTTATGGAGTTTGAAGCTATAAAACTCTTGGGACATAGTTTTTGTATCGACTTTTGTGGCTTAGGTGTCCATATGTCATTAAAAATAGATGCGGAAATGGCATTCCAAAATAAGCTCCATCATCTTGCCTTGGTATTTGGATCGAGGATAATAAATATCTTCGCATTTTGGACGGTATATTTCCACGGTACTTGAACGAGGGATATCTGACTTTCTTCATAAAATCCAGGTTCTTGGTCTGAGGTAGACATGGAATATTTCCCCATCCAGCACAATGAGGAATCTTGACTCGTGTTTCTTTATACGGCACAAAGAGAACATACCACTTTGCTCATCATTCTGCTTCCTCATCTCATCATCCATGAACGCACAAAAGACAAAACTGAAACAAAGCAATTGTAATTTTAATTTTGTGTTAAAAAAATAGGGATATAAAACACAAGTAAAGGGGGGACGATTCTTCTCTGAGAAATAAAGCATTTTGTAACAACTCTCTTTTTCCCCTCCACTACAACAGCTCCACTCTTTCATTCCATCAGGAAATATAGGACTCGAATCGTGGAAAGAGCAGGAACCCCGGGATTATCGTCTTCCGTGAACGTAGCGTTGCAGTCGATTTGCTGGCACCGTCGCTTAACCGTTTGGTCCGCCATTAATAGCGCTTTTGAAAAATGTTGTCGTCTTGCCGATTAATTTTCCTTGTGATTTCACCCCTTCTGCGTTTGCACATTCCTTTTCAACCCATCCATGGCAGATTTGAATTGCAGGAGATGAGAGAGATCAAGTTCCCCAACTGGTGACTGACACCGGTTGTCGTTGGTTTGCTTTCTCCATTTGGTGAAGCTCTTCACCACGTTTTTTAGATTCTAATTGGCCCATCACCTGAGTAAGCTCCATGTTGAGTTGATGGACATTAGACTCATGGTGAGCCTGGACGATCCGGCGAGAAGATAACAACGGCGAGCTCAACACCACAAAGGGTGATAATTTCACTGGCCTTATTGAACAAACCAGTTCGCCGCTTTGAAAAGGTGACTTGAAGATTGCTTTTGTTTGTCATCTTAATCATTTGGCGCCCTCAGTTTCTTCTCTCCATGTTAAAACCCGTAGAAAACAAGAAAAACCACTCTCCCCCTTTCAAGTTTTTTTGTTCTGCTTTTTTAAGGGAGAAATGAATGGCAGAAACAAAGAGAGAGAGAGATTGATCGTAAAGGGGGAAGAATCAAAAAGGTAGTGGAGTGGTGGGTGATTAGAGGTGGGATAGTGGTGTAATACGTGGAGTTTAGTGGTTTAGTAGATTATGTTTTTTATTTTTAGGGGTTGTATGTGGGTATTGCAAAATAAAATAATAATAAATATTTTTTTTAAACCCGGATAAAAATAGGTATATATAATATTATTATAAAATGATAAATTTACTAATAATAAAATGTTATTATCACAATTATAAATAATAATAATAACTATTTAATATATTGTAACTAGCACATCGTTTTTTCTTGTGGAAAAATTGTTGCCAATTCGAACATTTCTTGTAGTGTCTATAAGTTTCATCTGCAAGGAGCGGTTTTTACCGAGACCCCGACTCTTATCAAAAGAAATAATCGAATTAAATTTTGGATGACAAAATCAAATTATCAAAATATATCACATATATTGTATAAGAAGAATTTAGAATCATTTTAATTTTTTATGGTAATAATTTATAATTACAACACGTAACATACATAAATAGTTAATACTTCGACCTCGAAAATTACATATCAATTTTGAGTATTGAATATTAATACAATTAATTCGTTAATTTTTTCAAAAATAACTTTTAGTTGATATTTAATTTTTTCATAATATATTTTGGCCGTTGTTTTAGTTTATATATTTTTTTAGAATTGGGTTTGACATCACCACAACTAATTAAGATGACACTTATTTGTTTTCATACCCATATTTTCTATTTTGGACACTCGAATTGAATTTTGATACATGATTTGCGTCGTGAATAGTTTGTTCACTTCGCTCGATTCTAATTTATGTTTTGTCGGTGGTCCTTCAATAGTTTTATCCTATTTTGTGGTTCGTTTACTGGTGCAATCAGATTTATTTGTATCTATCTTTGTTCATATTCTTTGGTTAGGTTTTTAACATTTTCCTTGTATGGTCCTTGTGTGATTTTAAGTGAATATTTTTTTAATACTTATAGGACAATATCTTAATTATGTGATTAATTTACATTCATGTTCATAAACATCCATTATAATGTTAGTAATTGTATTTGTTGTAATTAAAAGGAATTCCAGACTCGTTTGGTTGTTCGATTGTAGTCATATATTAATATTTCATGTTATGTTTGATGGTGTAAAATTAATGTAATATAAATTTAAACTTTAAAATAATATTATTAATTATAAAAATAATCAAAATTACTTAAAAATTATGAACGAACAAGAAAACTTAAAACCAAATAACCGTATGTATAATGTTGGTTGAAGGAACTATTCAATAATATGATAAATTAAATAACATCACACTAAAATTGTGTATTACAGAAGAAAAGGATGGAGTGTATCACAAATAATCAACTATTCAAATAAGTATTAGTTTTATTTATTTATTGCCAAAATACTATGAACTGATTATGATAAATCAAGGCCAAGAGCATTATTCAGTTGGAAAATTATACATATAATGATATAAATACGTACATTTACAAATAAATCACAGCACAAACAATAACATGGTGGGAAATTTATTGCCATCTGAATTTTCTTTCCGGCCAAACACTCAAAAGCTTAATAATTCAAAGGAGGCCACAAAACAAACAAATGATCTTCACTGATAAATTAAAAAAAGGGTTTTCAAATTTTCAATCATCAATTCACAAAAGCACAATGTTTCCTGATTTCACCTTGGTTCCCGGTGAGCACACCAGCTCGACCCATCTTCACCATTGACTCAGCGAAATCTTTGGCAAAGGTGGATCCATGGGTGGTAGCTTGACGGAAAACATAAGCTTTGGTTTCCGGGTCATCGAGCAGGGCTGCATCGGATTGGAAAAGCCCTCTTCTTTTAGCCACCAGCGTGAAGTAAGCTTCGTCGAAGGTTTTAAAGCTTCCAGGGTCCATTTCCACCAGCGTTCTGGTGTCCCCTGGCTTGCATTTTTGCCTCAGTTTGACAATGTAATTCGGATCCAATGTCGGGTCGGTGTCGCCTCTGCCGGTGAAGTTGTAGAGCCGATTGGTGAATCCGTTGCAGTGAGATGTTCCGATGGTGTGTCCCCCTGTATGGATTCACGACCGAGTTAAAGTACAAAGAGTAAATAATATTTGAGCCCAATATCGAAATGGTACGAAAACCAGGGGACAACATATGAAAATGTACCCGACAGAACAGCTAGGTCTTTCATGTTTAGACCCTTAGCAGCAAACATTTGTCTTAGTGTTGTTATGTTGGCGAAAGGAGCAGGCAACTCTGCAAAGACCTGATTCATGATTGAAACTCTTCCATCTCTTCGTCCCAGAGGAACTTCCCAAAAGGGTCCATGGATCTTTAGAAAATGAAATTAAACAAGCATTAATTTTGTTTCTGATACAATTTGGAAGAGAAACAATGAGAGGTATAGTTTCTACCATCGAAACCGAATCTCGAGCTACTAAGGCGACGATATCGGCACAGGAGACCACACCGGGGCATGCTGATTCGACTTCGGCTTTAATCGAATCAATCACATTATATCCTCGTAAACTCAGGTTGGGGACTGCAGCTTTCTCAGCTAAGTTATTCTTTGTGGAATTTAGAAGCACTGAACCATCACACCCCTGAAAATCATCATCAACTTATTGAATACTCGTATGCTCAATCGATACATGAGAAAGTTACGAGCATTTTAACAACTTACTCGAACGAAACAATCATGGAAATGTATCCGGAGCAACGGAGCAGCGAGCGTCGGTGCTCGAGAAATGACTCGATAAGTCGCTCTCTGGATAATCGACTCGGCATTTGGGCAGGTCTTGTGGTAATACCCGAGTTTCAAACCCTGTGCATTGCTAAGGTTGGAGACCATAATTAGAAGAACGAGGTGAAGTAGGAGAAATGAGAGAAGCTCTTGGCAGGTAGCCATTTTTGCTTCAACGAGTTTGATTGGCCTGAGCAAATTGATAAACAAAAAGCAACAATGGCTTGTATTTATGGATAAGCTTGACGATCATTTCCTCTTGAACGTGTTAAGTTGCAAACTGTCACAAGTATTAGATTATTATTGATTTGATAAGGTCAATATTCCTAACAGCCGGCTTCCAAAATATATATTCACAAATTGAAATTTAAAAGCATGTCCCATCTTGCATTTCAATTATTAGTCGGGGGGTTTAGATGTAAATAAAAAAATGTTTTTATAAAAGTCAGTATATATTTTTTTATTTATCGAATACATGTTAAAAAGAAAAGCTGGCTACACTTTTTGACATGCAAAAATTGAATTATTTTAATCTAATTACCATTTCGTTATTCTTAATTCTATCTATCTTCAAGACTGCATATAGTAGGGTGTAAACGAGCCGAGTCAAGCTCGAGTACTACTGAGTTCAACTTGAACTCGAAAGAGTCTAAAATTTTCAAGTTCGACTCGAATTCGAAAGATAATATTGAAACTCGACTCAAACTCGAAAAGGCTCGAATTCAAAAAAAAAAAATTTAAGAGCTCAACTAAAGCTCGAAACTCGAGCTCGATTCAAGCCCGATTCTAACTCAATTGAAACTCGATTCAAGCTCAAACTCGCCCACGAAGTATGTTGAAAGGATGTAACTGCCTTTTATTTATAATGTCAAATAAGTGGTCCACTCATGTTCTTTCCCAATGTGGGATAATTCGGAGCACACAATTCTACCGAGCACACAATTCCGAAACAGTAACTCACTAACTCCATTATATTTCATGTGCTCTGGATTTCCATTTAACACTACAGTGCTACAGCTATGGATAGGATTGAATTATTTGTGAGTACCTAGCTGTCTAAATATATACACAAATAATTCAATTAAGGATGAATGTGTTTGAAACCAGTAGCAAACACCTCATCGATAACGATATAGGGGTAGGGTCCCTGGAAATAACTTGCAGGAAATGCAAGATGTTTAAGTATTTCTACCGTAATTCAAAAGAAATAAATCAACGGTGGAAGGGAGGGAGGGACAAAACTCCATATTTATGACCCTCTTCTGAACCATGAATTTCATCATCAGGAATTATTATATATGGTTAGGACATTAAAACATGGTCATGCACTAAAAACTGGGAATATTTTTGCAGTTTGATTGGATCATTCATAAGAAATGTAATAAAAAAGCGTTTGTAGTTTGATGATCAACATATTCCGCTTAACCCTCGTTGATAATAGTTTGACCATTTGACATGGCAAAATCAATCAACAAAATAAACCATGCAAAGGAATATTGAGGAAGTGGTTAAAGCTTTAAATGAATTATTGTATTTATTCCCTTTTGGTTCTTAAATGATGATAACGATGGAAACCTAATCGCAGTAGCACACTGAAAATGGAAGCTACGTATACAAACACAAACGTATATGTACTATAGCCAAGATAAACCACATATACCGATTGCATTGCCGGGTTTGAGTTTAGTGTCACCATCCAAATAAATTGGTTTTAGGTGTGTAATAAGTATAGCACAGCAGCACGAGAACTCCATGTAAAGGATAGTGGTGGAATAACTTGTATGAAAACATTTCTCAACGATATTAACTAAAACTAAAGTTTTTCAACTTGAATGATCAAAATACAAGCATCCTAAAAGTTAAATGATTACTAATATGATTTATCCAAATTATTACCCATAGAAATGATAAATAACCAGAAAAAAAATGCACGCATTACAATGTTGGTATTTGGGTCTTTGTTGTAAGAGAAAGTCAGGGATTGTCTCCGGAACGACAGATTAATATACGATTAATATATGGCGTTATCGGATACATTAAAAATATTTGATAAATTTGGTTTAGCGTTATCGAAAATATCGAGTAATAATAATGTAATAGGTGGAAATCATGAAGAAATATTAAAAAATTTAACAACCGGCAAACTTAGTTTGTCGGTTTGTGTCGATACTTTATAAAAATATATTGATCCCTAATAATATAACAAGTAAAAAAATGACAAAACCGGTATATAAATGACAAAACATATAAAGCGCTACCAGATATATTGAAAGTGTCGATACTTTATAAAAATGTATATATCCATAACAATATAACAGGTAAAAAAATGACAAAACCGGTCTATAAATGACAAAACAGGTAAAGTGCTATCAGATATATTGAAAGTGTCGATACTTTATAAAAATGTATCGATCCATAACAATATAACAGGTAAAAAATGACAAAACCGGTCTATAAATGACAAAACAGGTAAAGCACTACCGGATATATTGAAAGTGTCGATACTTTATAAAAATGTATCGATCCATAACAATAAAACAGGTAAAAAAATGACAAAACCGGTCTATAAATGACAAGGTAAAGCGCTACCGGATATGTTGATAGTGTCGATACTTTATTATAAGTATCGACACTTTTGAAATTTAAAAGAGAAGAGTTATAGCGCTAATAAATGTCGATACTTTATAAAAATATATCGATCCATAATAATATAACATGTAAAAATATGATAAAACCGGTCTCGAAATGACAAAACCGGTAAAGAGCTATCGGATATGCTGATAGTGTCGATACTTTATTATAAGTATCGACACTTTTGGAATTTAAAAGAAAAGAAGTTATAACGCCAATAAAGTGTCGATACTTTATAAAAATGTATCGATCCATAACAATATAACAAGTAAAAATATGAAAAAATCGATCTTGAAATGACAAAACCGATAGTAAAAAAGTATGCTTGTGTGGTCATTTTTATTTCAGAATTTTCATTTTTTAATATAAAAAGTTAGATATTTTAAGAAAAACCCAGTAAAAAAGAACAAAAATTTTTAGTAACAAAAGAATAACATTGGATATTTTAATACAATGTAACCGGTAAAAATATATTGGTTAATTAACAAATAGGTTTACATTATATATCGACACTCTTTAAATATGTGTCGATACTTTTTTCCCAAAATGAAAGCACAACGAGGTGCACGCATAAAGTGTCGATACATTTAAAATTGTATCAATCCCAAAAATATCAAAACCGATAATTATAATGTAATAGGTAAATTTGTAATGTTACCGATTTAAATATACATGTTTAGTTAGAAAATAGGTCAATATAAGCGCTACTTATTACATTATATAAGCGTTACCTAATATATTATTGTACTTGATAATATTTTTGATTAAACGATATAACATAATCAATCTAAATTTTAATCGATTATTTATTTAATAGATCACGCCGTTTTTAATTTTTTTTTTATCGCTGCACAGCAGAATCACCCAGAAAGTCAAGAATTTAAAAGCTGCAGAAACCGATAGGGCTACAAGGTATGCTTAAAAGGTGCAATCCTAGTATATTGATGATCCAATCATGTTATTAAATAATTTCAATTGAAAAATGCAAAAGCTAATTTTTTTATTCACCAGTACTGTTAGTTTGATTGATGATCCAATGACCAAAATCTTGGATATTACTAATGGATGGGTCTCTTTTTTTAATCAATCCTACCACTAGTGACAACACGAAGCATTGCACCAATGGTTAAGACCAAACATTGAAAATTGGAAAAAGAAATCCGATAATAAGTTAATGACGATCTATAACAAGTTTAATTTTATATTTATGTGAATTTAATTATCATTCTAAAATTAGTATATTTAATTTAAATTAGTCTTCACATTTAGGTTTTTCTTAATTTAGTCCCTATTAGGATTGTTTTATTTAATTAGTTGTGTATATTTATTTTGCATGTTGATGTGTTTATGTATAAGTATGTGAATGATTTATTTAGGAGTCACATAACATCATCTTGCATAATTTGTATGTTACATTCATGTGCATAACTTAATCCCGTCACATAATCGGGTTTAGAGTTTAGAGTTTAGGTTCATGGTTTAAGTGTTAAGTTTTAGGATTTAGGGTTTAAGAGTTATGGGTTATAATTTAGGGTTTGAGATTCATTACAAAGATATTAATTAATCGACTTGGTACCGATTTATGAGGTAAATACAATATAGTAATATTGATATTAAATGCTGAAACCCTTGATATTTATGATATTTGAACCCGAAACCTCAAAATATAACAACAATTTAAAAAATTAGTTATTAAAAATATTATCATTAGAAATATATTAAATATTTGTCATTAGATAAATAATTTTTTTATTAATTTAAAATAAATATAAGAATATTTATTCAAAAATAATTTTTAATAATTTTAAATTTTTTTATTGTTTGGCTGTTTTTTCTTATTTTTTATTTTATTTTTCGACGTTGTCAAATACTTGTGCAGTAAAAAAATTAAAAAAATCAACCAAACACGTGTAATCTAACATGTGCCTAATTATATATGCTTTTATTTTTCTTTTAGTAATATACAATGTAACAATTGAACTTGGGCTGGTTAATTAAAAAAATTAAAATTTGAGGGTAGTTGTAATATAAAATTTTTAATACATTTTTAAAATTTTATAATTATCAATAGTGTATTTTTAATAATGTAATTTTAAAAAATCTAAAATTATAATATAACATTTTTTTGAGTTGCTCACGAGCTTTTCGAGTTGAATACCGAGTAGCTCGTTTCGGCTCGTTAAGAACTCGAGTCGAGCTCGAGCTCGAGTCGAGTCTATTCGATCCGAGTATTTATTAAACCTTGATCGAGTCGATCTCGAGTAGCTCGCGATCTGTCTCGTCTCATTTACAACCCTAGTTATACTCGCGTAGGAGTATTGCTTCATCATGTATTTTACTCGAATTTTTCTATTTATCATTTTAATTTTATATTTATGTTTATACTTTTTTACATTATAACAAATATTTTAATAATAGTATAATTAAATTTTTTACTTTATTAATATTTATATATGTTAAAATTTTGAGACTCAAATTTGATCTTGACCTGTCTCAAAAAGTTTATGGTGCAACTAATTAGCGAAGAAATAAAATTAAAAGATGAAAATGGGAA